TACATGCTTGTTAAATCTCCACTATGGACCGCTCAGATTTTCGTTAGTCGCATAATTTATCTGTGCAGCTCTTCGGTTTTATATCACTCGTTATCGGGAGCGACCTCTGACACTTTGACATGAGAGAGTAAAAATGGTAGACAGCCGTAAAAACTTCTGTGGAGCTTTGAAATTGGCATCACGAGGAAATAGTCGATAAAGAGCCCAGAAATGTAAAGTGCTCATGTGGATATAGATGTAGACATGCACTTTTTGCCATATGTTACAGAAATGCTTTTGACCTAGTTGTTCGCCGAATGCCACAAATATCTGTTGTTGAGCTAAATCTCCTTGAAAATGAGTGAATTTGCCGGATCTACAGTCAGTGTCAACCAAGTGCTCCCTTTTCCGTAGCAGCAACGCATCCGTAGCGCGTGGGCATTGCGCAGCATTCCCGATCGAGGCGGCTAATTTGAACGCTCAAACGGTGCCCTTGCGTAAGCGGCATGCGGCTCCAACGTTGCGCTTATTCTGATAGACTGTAGGCTATGTCTTTCTTCTGAAACATTGAGAAACTAATAATAACAAGTGGCCTAATCCAAGATAAGAAAAGTGGGAAGCAAGAGATTGGAGAAGCGAAGAAGTTTGGAGCCCCCCCCCCCCACTCCCCGCAAGGCGGCCAGTGTTTGCTGCCTCCTGCGCAAGCGCCCTGCATTGGTCATTAAAAGCTCACTAGTTTATCTTTGTGCTATCGTGACACACTTGCAAGAACTTACCTTCTCTTCTTCTTCCGGAAGCTGTATCTTTTTAATAAATCCACCTGAAGACATTAGCATCAATTCTCACAAAGTTGCTTGGTAAATTTTTTAGGTAAGCTTTTCAGTGAGTTCCAGTTGCTGAAAGGTACGTAATATACGTCAACTGTATGATCGAAAAATATTAGCGAAGTAAAGTTGAACTCTTTTGCATGTCGAAACCGAAGACGTTATGAAAACTTAATGGAAGAAGACTGCATTCTCATGCAAGTTTGTTGTTAGTAGCTTGTCCTAGACTTGAGTCCACAAATTCTGCTGTGTCAGAGTACTATGTGCCCCAAATACGATAATAATACATTTTGACGCATTGTTTACATCACAGATCGAGTCAAATATGTTCTGAGGGCGATACTGAGTTTAATTTGTGAACATGCTGTTCTTGCAGCGCAGTGACGCTTAAAGACAGCGTTCGGGCAGATATGAAATTGTAACGTACAGGGACTCCCACCCTGATAAAGCTCTTGCCCAATTGGCATTCCACTACTTTGCTTGCGAAGCGAGAAAACAGCTCCAGACGATCGGAACTGTCCGCCCCTTCAATCCATAGCCAGAGTACGTATGTCACTCACGGAAAACGTAGAGTCCCACCACGACCTTGCGTCAACCACGGCGGCCAGCGTCCATATTCAAAATCAACAGCTGTTGGAATAACCCGTTTTCCATTTCGCACTCTGCAAGCTGCATTTTCGGTATCAGCGGGAAGAATAAGCCCACGTAAGCGGGTGAAATATTGTTTGTATTTTACCTGGACGCTGCCTTTGGGTTGGACCAGACTGCGCTACGAACGGGCGTACGCGGCGTAAGCAGCGTTCGCGGCATATCTTCATGCACGTGGGCGTACGCCGTGTACGCTGCGCAGTTTGGTTCAACCCTTTATGTGAAAGCTGATTACAAAATTTTTAGCATCAGTGAAGCCGCTTCAACTGAATTCTATACGATTTGATAAAGACACTAGTGTGATTGACTGGCATATTAATATTGCGAACTAAAGTTTGCAATGATGTACCATACCTCCATTCCTCCTAAATGACGATACGATTTTTGAAGTGAGCTATTCAATTCAATGTGCAGAATCTTTCCAGACGGTAAACTATTACGCACTTTTCACGAATCCATTGAAAAGTGTCATGCTATAGCGCTTTCGTGCAATGGAAATAGCATTGGACCTTAAGGCCTCGGACAGAGTTCACGCGATTTGATCGTCGCGATTCAATCGCTACAGACAAGTGTTACAAGTTCATTGCATGCCGATCTTCTTGTATTTCGGTTGTGATAGTTAATCTCGATTAGTCGTGTTGAAAAACTATCACAACCGAAATGCAAGAAGATCGGCATGCAATGAACTCGTAGCATTTGCCTGTAGCGATTGAATCGCGATAATCAAATCGCGTGTACTCTGTCTAAGGCCTAAGAAATAAAGTTTAATAAATTACACGATTTTATGCAGTATTCTTTAGCCTTAGCTTCTTGATAGTTCCATAGAGGCAAACTGTATCTTAAAGAGCAGATGGAGATTCTGGAGATGGTTGCTTTAGTAAGTAATTTACGGTCTAAGTCGACCAAGTGTCTCTTTGCCGTAGCAACTTCACATCCGCAGCGCGTGGGCATTGCGCGACAATCTCCGATTTATGCGGCAATTAGACGCTGAAACGGTACTTTCGCGAACGGGGCACGTTGCTTTAGCGTTGCGCCTGAGCTGATGCGGGAACAAATAGTTTTTCTTCAGAGCTTGAGTTTGCTCAGGAGGCATTGTTTTGCAGCTGATGCGAGTAAAAAAATTGTTAGTACAGTTAATGAATACAAACACTACATACAGATGTCATGTTGGAGTTTCAGTGCAGACGACAATGGTATCCCTGCGGCGGTTAAACGCGGAATCTTTTGCGCACAGAGGTAGATAATGATTCGCTTATGGTACAGCTCAAATTCAACTCTGCTTACACTTGTAGCCATTCAATTGCTACTTAGAAAATCATCTCATTGACGTTCAGTTTACTCGAATATTAGAAAATCGAAGGACATTGATGTTCGAGTATAAAATTTCGATTTTCGATTATTATTCGATAGTCGAATGATCGAAAAATTCGATTCTCGATTATCATTTGATATTCGAATATTGGAAAAAAATTCGAATTTTCTTAAGTGTACCAAGTAGGTTTTAACCTCAAAGTAGCCTTGTTGAATATCAAATCTTTCGTGAGGTAAAAATCTACTTTGAAGGCACCGTCCACCCAAACTCGAATTCAGTGTTTTTGTCGCCTTCAGGCCTTCTGAAAGCCCTGATTCCAAATATGGAGTCGAAAATCCGCGAAACCCCAAAAAACCCTCTGCAACAAGCGCAGGCGAGATAAAGCATGCAAGTTGGCGGGGCGATCATGGTCGCCCCGCCCACTTTGCTACTTCCGGAGCGGATTTCTCACTTCAGAAGCAGTCTTTTGCGGCGAAGCTTGGGGGTTTGCCTAATATGGGGTCCCACATTAGTATGCCATCATAATCTCGCCAACCTCCATTTTAGGTGTACGATGCCTTTAAGGTAGCTTATCAATTTAAAGTTCTACCATAAGATGGTCACTGGACCCAGTATGACTGCTGGACCAACTTGGAAAACAGGCATTTACTAGTGGTCCTAGATTTCCGTTCGGGGGAGGGGGGGGGGGGCAAGAAAATCTCGGAAAATTTCTCCCAAAACGTTTGCGGGCCCATGACCCCAAAATTTCAGAAAAAGGGTGGCTATAAGACTAATATGGATCTTTGAAAATCAAAACAAATTTTTTCAATTATTTACAAAAAGTCCTTGCACATTTTCACAGGGTGGGGCAAAAGTTTGGGAGCCTAGCACTTTTTCAGAGAAAATCAGAAAAGGAAAGTACCTAGAAAAAAGAGTTTGGTGCACACATGAATTGAACCTTTACAAGTACGTTGCAGCTATCAAATTTCGAGATTGCCTCTTTTGGCTCAAAGCAGCCCATCGTGCCCTGTCGTGGCACATAGGCAGTCGTGATGAATTTCGTCACACGATTTCACGATAACTGACTTTCACTAGGCAAATATGCAGTATGATAGAGCAAGCTTTTGGCTACAACGTGCCACGAAACATTTTTTTAAACATTCAAGAATCCAAAAAACATTTAGATTGCTCCCTCGATCAAATCCAACTAGATGCTTATGTAGAAGGCTCTTGGAAAGAATACAGCTAAAAATTCAATACCTGCTGCCCTCCTATAGCTTTCAAACTTATTTTAAAGACAATAGCCAATGTCACGCAGGTGATATTCGCAAATTTTTACTTTGCGTTTTCGAAAGAATAATTTCTGGCAAACGCAACTACTACGATGTGAAGCGCAAAGCCTCCTCTACATTGTGTGCATTAAAATGTTGTAGAATATTCACACCGTCTTTAGCTACAAAATAAATTGTGACTAGTAGAGATTTGCTTTTCTCGTTCTGCCGAAGCACCTCTTTGATGAATCCAACTTTTACAAAAAACATGGCAACTTTTCAGCTAGGTAAAGTTTTTTGTAGAGGATGATCGCAGCATCATGTGGCCCAAATTTGGAATCAAAATCATCAATAGCTTTGTGTTACAACATTGTAAAGTCGGCTCCTAGACTTTTGCCCTATAGTGTATAATTCATGTGCAATCAGGAGGCGTGCCGGTTCGCCGCCGCAGCGCCGTGTAGAAGCAAATGGTTTGCGAAGGCAACCTTCGTACTCAAAAACAGCGTTCAGGAAAAGTTTCGAAAAATTTTGTTGCTCGACTGGGCTTATGAATCCTGCTTATTCCGAACTTGTAGATTAGAGAGCACAAAATTGTGAATGGTCTCATACCCTCAAATTCGAATTTTGACGCCAGGTCAAGACGCAGAGTAGTTGTGGGAGCCTATTTGAAATCAAAATCATCAATAGTTTCGAAATAAGGCTTTCCGGCAATGGACTTAGAGGCAATCTCTTCAGCGTCACTCAGGCGTCACAGTCGTAGTTTCTAGAGTTTTCTCGCTTCAGAAGCAAACTGGCGCAATGCCACTCGTGCAGTCAATGCACTCTACTTCTTCCTCATTATCGTCATACCTGCCCGGATGCTGCCTTAAAATCAGGCAACCACCCTTAGCAATGAAAAAACATTTGGGATTGTTTGTTGGAAGTGAACGGTCTCAAACATTCCTCTCTTGAAGAACGACAGCAGAAAACAGCTTTCAATTTGAACCAGCGTAGCTCATGAGTGGTAGTGGCTCAGCTCCTTCTGGTGAGTTACGCTTTTTCCACCTTAAGGCCGGGCATAGTTCACGCGAATTCAGTCGCAACGCGATTTGGCATCATTCCAACTGTCCATAGCTCACTGTAGGCACATTTTTAATGTACAGAAGATAAATCATTTTGTCAATCCACGTTAGTTATACAGACTATGCATGTGCAGTTTGCTAGTTTCGGATCTGAAGATTTCTGGCGAATTGCCGAATCGCGTTGCGACTGAAATCGCGTGAAGTATGCCCGCCCTTGGAAGAGAGTGTGGCAAATTCTAATCGAACAATTAACCTTCTTCTCAAAACTCGATATGTGAACCTCTCACACATCTTTTTTGGAGATTTTGAAGAAGGACAGCTGCTGTGGTAAAGTGAAATTCAGACTTAATATTCGCAGCCGACATAAATCTTAAAAGGAGAGATACCCCGTGATCATGGCTTTGGAACGTGTTATATAGAAAATGCTCGCCTTGAAACTTGCTGGCCCGTATTTGTCAACCTTAGTGGGTGGGCTAAACGCAGCATGTATTCGCGACAGCAGTGGGTTGTCGAAGCCAATGTGTGTAGTCTATCCGTATATAAGAAACCCACAAAAAGCCACCGGTGTTCGCGAAGGATTCCAATGGGTTTGCGAATCCAAAAGTCAAGCATACCGATAAGCGGCTGGGACTGGTATTCGACAAAAACATGATTCAGAAGTCAAAGTAGGTTACAAAGAAAATCTCATTCCCTTTGCTGAAGTTATAAAGAACTTTCTCATAGTTGCAACTGAAATGGTTCTTATTACTATTATCGCTATAAGCGTGTGGAGATTTAGAATATATTTGAAACGGTCTCATTGACATGACTAACAAGTGCGAGAAAAACATTGAGAATGCACCGCACCTATCATCAATAATTATTAGGGTGATTGGTAGAAAATGGGGCAGCTTGATTTTTATAATTTTGAGATTTTCTGTTTCGATCAGCAACAAGCAGGCTGCAACGTAAACGTCGCTTATATAAGCGGCCTTCGCCTATTATTCTGGCAAAGCGTCAACGCTCCTCTCTCACAACCTTACGCGTGGCGCCCTGAAGAACTCGAACAAGGTTTTTTGAACGTCGCTCATCCTTGCGCTGCCATACAGTAAAGCTATAGAGCAATTTATATACCATTCGAAAGAGCTCTTCATGCTCTTTCAAATAATATATCAAACATACAGGATTTCTTTCTAATTCTGGGTAAAAAAAGCGAAATACCTGAAAAATCGCGATTTCTGGCGCGACAAAAACCAACAAATCAAGTTTCAATCTGTATTTTCCGAAGATTGATAAAATGTAAGATAAACTGCATATGGATGGATAGGGCGCAGAAGCTCTTTCACATCTTATATATAAAGCTGAATGTCTGTTTGTATGTATGTCTGTCTGTCTGTCTGTCTGTATGTCTGTACGTATGTTCCGAATAGAAAATTCCATTTCTGAACCGATCCGGACCAAACTTGGCACACATACACTACGGGCCCCGGCGGGTGTCATAGGCTACTTTTCGTCATCGATCGATATCGATTTTATCGATTTTTATCGATTTTTTTGCTGAGTTCACCTACGGGGCTGGGAGTTGGCACAGGGGGGTAATCGAGCATGGGGATTCCGAATACAATATTGGTTTTTAGGATTATCGATTACTTTTATCGATTTTATCGATTTTTTTGCAAAGTTTGAGCTACGGGGCTGGGAGTTCGCACAGGGGGGTAATCGAGCATGGGGATTCCGAATACAATATTGGTTTTCGGGATTATCGATTACTTTTATCGATTTTATCGATTTTTTTGCAAAGTTTGAGCTAGGGGGCTGGAATTTGGCACAGGGGTGTAATCGAGCATGGGGATTCCGAATACAATATTGGTTTTCGGGATTATCGATTACTTTTATCGATTTTATCGATTTTTTTGCAAAGTTTGAGCTAGGGGGCTGGGAGTTGGCACAGGGGGGTAATCGAGCATGCTGATCATCCCCAACGGGGGTGATCAGCATGCTGTTACACCCCTGTGCCAAATTCCAGCCCTCTAGCTCGAATTTTCAAAAAATCGATAAAATCGATAAAAGTAATGGATGATCTTGAAAACTAATGTTGTATTCGTAATCTGCATGCTCGATTACCCCCCTGTGCAAACTCCCAGCCCCGCAGGTCAAACTTTACAAAAAAATCGATAAAACCGATAAAGGTAAAGGACGATCCTGAAAACTAATATTGTGTTCGTAATCAGCATGCTCGATTACCCCCTGTGCAAAATCGCAGCCTCGCATGCCAAAATTTACAAAAAATCGATAAAATCAATAAAAGTAATCGATAATTCTGAAAACTAATATTGTATTCGGAATCCCCATGCTCACTTCCCCCCTGTGCCAACTCCTAGCCCTGTAGGTGAACTCTGCAAAAAAATCGATAAAAATCGGTAAAATCGACATCGATCGATAACGAAAAGTGGACTGTGACACCCGCCGGGGCCCGAAGTGTATGTGTGCCAAGTTTGGTCCGGATACGGCGGAGCCGGGTAAGCCAGCTAGTGCTAAATATAGAGCATGCGTTCTCCTGCAAAGAATTGAATAGCACGTATCTATTTTCTCCAAGCTGCTAATGGCCATATCTCCTGAATTTGAAAGTTGAGGCAAGCAACCCATTGTGTGGCTGCAGTACCTTTATGCATTGCAGCAGTAGTACTTTGGATGGTTTCGCATGTTTCACTGCGCAGATACTGCCCGAAGTTTGTAATTTGTCAAAGTGACTAACTTTGCATTTCAGACGCTAGAAAAATTATTAGGCAAGTAAATGACCTTATATAGGTATTCTCTGAAAGAGAATAATTTATTCTAACATCTATCAAAATTGGGAAGTTTAATCACTTTCCTTTTTTGAGAAATCTACATTTATTCTCTAGGTGCCCCATTTTTTACCGATCACCCTAATAAATCAAGTCTCACAAATTCAAGGCAATATGTAGACATCACATCTTCTATATTCTATGTTCATCGAAGATTCGTGATCAAAAATTTGAGGTAATAATTTATATCAGGGGCGGATCCCAAAGATAATAACAAGGGAATGGTCAGAATTAGCGGTGGGAATTCCAAGTCGTACATCGTTGAAGCCTCCATGGAGGTTGTTTACATATCACCTTCGGTATCTGCTTATCGGCCTCCTACAGAAGTTATGGCCCTCGATTCTTCCGTGAGGCCGACGCACATTGTAAATACCTGTCGCCCAACAAGAAGCGAAGATGGACGCACAGCGCGGCGGTAGGTGTGCAGACCAGGGCTCAGCACAGCTGGCACCGGGTCAAGCTGGATATCGTTTTTAGTGCGGAAAGCAAAGGTGATATCGTTTCTATTTACAGGGGCCGAGGCGGAAAACTGCCGCAAAAATGCCGCCGGCATGCCACCGGCATGCCATTGGCAAGCTGTCCATCAACAAACAAAGGCGTTGTTTTCAGCCAAAACGCAATAGTATGACACCAAATTTGGTGTGTGCATGCGCGTTGGTGGACCGGAACTACGGGCCAAAAATTTATGAAAACTTATGTGAATGAAAGCTGTGCCGAACTTTTTTCTGAATTAGCTGGCACCGTGCCAGCTGGGTGCCAGCTGAGCTGGCACCGACACTTTGCTCACATAAGTTTTCATACTTTTTTACATAAAATGTATCTACACTGTAAAAGACTACATACGGAGAAGAAAAAGTTTCATAATGTTCTCTTTTCAGCGTTTTATAGCAATTTGAAAACCACTCAGTCCGCTCCGCCATCGAAAAATCGGCTTTTTCTGCTTTTCAAGATGTGATTCGACCACTTAAAAGGCTCAGAAAGCTGTGAAAAGTTCTTTGATGAAATCAGAAATGCATGAAAACACTACTACATTTTTTTACATAATATAAAAATGATGACGGGTTTTCAAAACAGGTCAAAAGGGACTTCGTACGAGATTTTCAATATCAAACGGGACTTCGTTTTGAAATTTCCCTAGTGCCAGCTCGTGCCGAGCCCTGGTGCAGACGCATAGGACAACGCCTCGATTTTTGTTTACAATCGATTAATTTGTTTGCTGCTTTATTGCAACCCATCTCCAAAATATATGTTCCTAGCGCGAAGTCTCTAACATGATTCAAAAGAAGTTGAACATCTAAAGACTTTGAAAACCTGCTTCTTCATCAGTTGAGCTCACTTGGGATGAGTATGAACATGGTGAGAACAGAATCAAGAATATTGATAAATAGAAATGCAAGAATCAACGGAAGTAAGTACATAAGAAAGAGGAACTGAAACTGATAAATAAAGTGCGGTTCATAATTATACGAACACCCAAAATTTTGTATGTTTTCGGACTTTTTGGGAGAAACTCAAAGAGCCGTTGGTACCACGCGAAAGAGCACAACCGAAAACGGTATATGACCCTTAAGAATGGAAATTGATGTCAATCTTATGAGTGTTTTTGCGCCTAGTGCGAATTTTTAGCGGTTCGTAATTATACGAACACCTCAAACAAAGGTCCATTTCTCGTCCGCGGTGCAATCATTTGAGTCCAAATTTTTTGTAGAGTCACAGTAATAAGGTGTGAAACACCTGCTACACACTGAAACCAGTGAAGTTTAAAAAAAGGACCATTACTTTTTTTCAGAAGGCTCTAAATGCTTTTGGAGTGATTGCGCTCCAAAAACATTCGTTCTTCTGTGGTTTACGCGCTCTAATTAGCTTCTGCCAAAGCTATGAGATAAAATAAGCCTCTTTTGATAGGTATCTTGTTTGGCGCTTCGAAAATCTTTGCATTTTTGTGCCGTTTTTTAACCAAGTTCCAAACTTAGCACAGAGTCAGCACGATTTCGAGCCTCAAAACTCAGCTTCTGTCTTGCGCAAACATTTGATATGAAGCAGCTGCATTGCTTGCATGATGATGTTTCTGTGCCAAAATTTTTGGGTTTTTTGTAGGACTGATCTTGAGGCTGCGGAGCTGCAAACCAAATAGAGGT